AGCTTGGCTCTTTCCACAGTTTGGCTATTGTGGATATTGCTGCTACAAACATCGGGATGCACGTACCCCTTCGGATCCCTACATTTGTATCTTTGGGGTAAATACCCAGTAGTGCCATTGCTGGATCGTATGGTAGCTCTATTTTCAACTTTTTGAGGAACCTCCATACTGTTTTCCAGAGTGGCTGCGCCAGCTTGCATTAGGATGGGCTCCTCTTTTGATGACCTTGATTTGAATCTCTCTGGCTCTCTTTCTGAGCTCTTCTCTGCAATACTTGTGCTATCACTTCTGCCCCATATCCTCCCTCCCCCAAAGCTAGGAAAACAAGGGAATGAGTAATAAATAGGTCAGGGTTAAGAGGAGGAGTGCGGTGGGTGTTGTAAGAAGAGGGAAAAGAGGAGAGCTAAGCAGATGTACTCTGGTTTCCTTCCACAGATTTCCAACCCTGTTCAAGTCCGCTGTTTTAATACCTGAACTAGACCATTACATGCTTTTATCATGTCTAAGACTGGCACGATCTAGTCACTTGATTGTAAAGTTCCTTATATTTAGGGTTTCAAACCAGTATGTCCTGGTTTCCAAAGTTACCCCTACTCGTGGTGTGTGATCACCATACAGTTATGTCCAAACAGAATGACGAGTGCAGCTAAGCTTGTTCTATGGATCTTGCACACATCAGCCCTCAGTTTTTAAAGATATTCCTATTAAAGATGCACCCAGAGCAAACACATTGTCGCCATATTTATTTGTACTACTTCCCCAAAACAAATGGAAGTGGCTTACATTTAAAGATAATGGAAGTATTTTTTTTTTAAATGAGAGCTTAGAAATAATTTAGAGCAAAGACATTATCAGATGGTGATTCTAAAATGAAATAGAATGAGTACAAAACTCCATAGCTTAAGACAGAGGAAAACCTGCTGGGTTATATAATTCTCTGTATCTAATTTGTTACTGTTTTTCATTTGTTCCTCTCCCTCTCTCTCTCTTTTTGAAAAACACCCTTTTACCTGGAAAGTTAAACTGATAGCTGTCATTAAATTCAAAAAGAGATTTAATCATGTATCTTAAGTTATTCTTGGAATAAAGCATACCACGTGTTGATTTATTAGTCAATTATGTTGCATCTTGCAGAAGGGAAGGAATGACAAAGAAGAAAATACCTTTACCTTTGGCTTTGTAGAAGATGCAGTGATATTTTCCATATTAATGCTTCTTAAGAAAAAAGATTTTTTTAAAAAAGCAGATGGTATATCACTTTATTGTGATTATATGAAAATATTTCCATAGGAAGCTAGGCTAAGAGAAAGAAACAACTATTACATTTATAAATTATGTTTCCAGTTTGCAGCTCTGTTTCTAATACTTATTGTCCATCTGTAAAATTTCCCAGTCTGCCTTTGGACGTTGTGCTTTTCAGTTAGCCAAAGCTGGTACCTCTCCCTCCCCCATTCGTAAACAACGCTTCTCTGGCTGTGTTTGGTAGGGAGCCTCTTCTTTAGTCACATCAGATGACACAGCTTTTTGGAAAGAATGTGAGCTCTAGAATTAGATGGGCCTAGCTGTTCTTATCCTCAGTTCTGTCTCAAGTAAAAGAGGGATAATGTCACTTCCTGGATACTTCGTTGCCTCCTCTCCCTCAGCCACCACATCAAGTCCTACTGATAGCCCCTCAATGGCCATAGATCTGCCCTGCGGCCCCGCCTTTAGCCCAGCTTTGCCTCTCCCTTAGTTGTACACAGCCTGCCCTCTGATCTCCCCGTTCTAGAAACTAGATTTACCCTCCTCCACTCCATTCTCAAAACAAACTTGCTGAAACACAAATGGTGTGTCACTACTAAATATCCTTTAGCAATCTGACATTGTCCTGGGACAAGGTCCAGACCCCTTTTCATGGATCGTAAGACCCTTCTTAATCTAGCCTTGACTATATTCTCTTGCCTCTCTCACCGACCCCAACTCGCTCCATATTTTGGCCACAGTGATCTATCTCCTATTCAGGGAACCCGTCAGGCTCTGTCTCTTCATTGAGCTTTGGTGCTGATTTCTCTCTCAGCATCAAATACCCCTCCTCCCTGGCCTGTGCTGGGCTGTCACTGATCATACGCCCTGTTTGCCTGTCCCCTCGGTTTCCCCATCCCCAAGCCTAGCATCGTCCCAAAGTCTAATGAAAAAGTTTTCTCCTGTGAGCTTCCTCAGCACCCTGTACTGTTAAGAGCCTTTCTGCTTCTTGTCTCTCCCACTGGCCATGAGTTCCAGGTGGGGAGACCATGCGTCCCCATCTTTTTTTTTTTTAAGATTTTATTTATTTCACAGAGAGAGAGAGCACAAGCAGGGAGAGCGGCAGAGGGAGAGGGAGAAGCAGGCTCCCCGCCGAGTAGGGAGCCCGATGCGGGGCTCCATCCCAGGACCTTGGGGTCATGACCTGAGCCGAAAGCAGACATTTAACCCACTGAGCCACCCAGGCGCTCCCACGTGTCCCCATCTTGATATCTTCAGCGTGCAAGTCAGTGCCTCACAGAAGTTGCTTAATAAATAAAAATGAAAATGGGAATGAATGAATATCTATTGGAGTTTTGGGGTGGATGAAAAGGGATGAAAGAGAAAAGGCACTGGAAACATGGCATGCACTTAGTAAATGACCATCTGCATTATTACTATTCTTGCTACAACTACTCCTGCTACCACCGTGTGGGACTGTATCGCTGTCAGAACTGAGTGTGTCCTTTGCCTACGGAAACCCACATGCCAACGTCTCCAGGGCTTCTGACACCTGTAACTCCAGAAATATGATGAAAACTACCGTAGTTGTAGTTTTGTTGGGTCTTTATAAAAATGTGCCCCTCCCTCCGCCTCCCTCATTTCCTGGTTCGAGTGCCTCTTGCAACCTTTCACAAAGAAGTGGGTTCAGTCCCTGGAACATGCACTTTCGCCAGTCGCGGTTCATTTCCCTGTAACCCCTTGCGTCCCTATTCAACAGAGGCTAGTAATTACCATAGCAACGGCAGCATGTGGCGCCTGCGCGCTCTCTCAGAAACAAAGCATTTGCCTGAAAAAAATCACACACACACACACACACACGCGCGCGTTAATTTGTAACATGAAATTCTATTTCATGGTATTTATGAAGGGAAATCATGCCTCCAAGTAAGCAGACTACCTTCCTTCCTCACGGCGCTGGGGCTGGGGGGCTCACCCGGTTGTCCTCCTGTTTACCCCACCCCCACCGCTCTCCCCATGCACATATTGATTCATTTTAAAAATGAAATTTTCGTGCAATGGAAAAAAAAAAAGATGGGAAGGATTCGGTTTCAGTGGGAAGGTACAAAGGTCAGTGAGAGGGTGCAGAGCTCCATACAGCAGTTGTTCCTGTCTGAGTGATGATCATGCTACCAAGGGGATTTATTAAAATGGAGCCTATTGCTGTTACACTGAATGAGGCTCTTCATAAATTCTGTGTGAGCCTGTCAGTGGCTAAGCCCATAGGTAATGCTTAAATACAGCGCCCGCATCTGCTTGCTGGTGTGTGCATCCCGGCCCGTGTGCACACCCTCCACCCAGTCCAGAGCCCGGGTCCGAAATGAAATGCTCTGCATGCCCAGAAATGGAGATTTCCATTCTCATCCAGGCCGTGTGTGTGTGTGTGTGTGTCCAGCAAGACATGATGGTGTAGAATGGAGCACTACATCAAAAACTAATGATGTAATGTACGGTGATTAACATAACATAATAAAATAAAATAAATAAAGGTATTTGAACACTTGCATGAAAAAAAATGGGACAGAATCCAATGTGACAGAACCACTTGTCTGGCTCTTGATCTGGCGGGGAATAGGAAAGGGAAGGAGAGTTTGGCTAAAGCAATTCAGGCCGTGTGGCACCATGACCTCCTCCCCCTGTCCTTTCAAAAAACAGACGGAGGGAGATCTGTGCTCGGGACTGTTCAAGGTACAGCTAGCTCTCAATGTCATTAGTCATAATCAAAGGGCAGGTGACAGAGGCTGAACTCTTTCTGGCCTGCCTCCTTGAGTCACCTGAAGAGAGAAGAAAACCTGGGGAGAGACTCTGCTTCAACTAGACCTTTTTTCAGTTATTGTTTAAACCCAGTCCGTTGGAAGCCTCTTTATGAGTTCTCTAGTTGAAACTCTGATTTTTTTTTTTTTTAAATTGCTTTGGTCTGAGGAAAAACTAATACATTCCAGTCAAAGGCTTGCAGGGCCCCAGAACAATCTAAACCCTTCACTCTGTTCCGCAGGAATTCGGTCAGACAGCCTTCTCTAATAACATGGGGACGTTCTCTCAGCAAACGGGGCTCAAGAACCGAGGGCAGGGCCATAGGGCGGGTTGGGGGGTGGGGGCTTGGGCGGGGGAAGGGTGGGCAGACATGTTCTCATCCTCATCCGCTTTTACCAGAGTTGATGAAATGCTCTGAACACTCTTTATGCGGGAATTTAAGAGTAGGTGCTGACACAGGCATTGGATCACCTACAGTCCCTTATTATTATTAGCAGCATGGAGAGCGACAGCTGTCTGGGAAGCCACTGCCTTTGGCCTCTGGGCCCACTGTCTCTGAAGCCCGGGGAGGGGTAAGGCTCCTCTCTGGTCAGGCGCCCCGGGGAGCCCCGCGCGCCCCTCTGGAGGCCGTGCCGGAGGCGCCGCTAGAGGGCGCCTTCCACCCAGCGATAGCTCCCAGCGGCAAACCTGCTGCTTCGGAGAGCACATTTTAAGTGAGAAGCAGGGAAATCAGTGACGTGGGGAATTATTATGCACAGTTCATTTCCTTGTAATTTAACTCTCAGAGTAACAAAAGCATAATGTATAGCCTGGTTTTCGGGTCTGATTTACAACAATTTAAACTAAAAGATGCTTTCTGCCTCCTCCCCCACCCCCTTCCAATCACTTCTGCTGATATCAGCAGCTGAGAATTTTGTATTTCATCATGCCACCATATCCTCCCTAAAGTCACAGATCCGGGAAAAGAAAAATAGAAAGCAGGATCCCTGCAAACAGACCCGGATGCGAATTGTCATTTTCTGTTTCAAATTCCATTAGAGCCTTATTGCCCGTGTTAAAAACTTTGTTTTTATGATGGTGGTTTGGTGAGTATTCCCCACTCCTTTTAAACACTGTGAAGTCCAAATGGGGCAAAGCTCTTCTATCCTCAAAGGGCTGTGGTGTAGGGTTCAAACCCAGAAGTAAAAGGGGAAAGCACCAGGCATGGGGTTCCCAGCTGACCCAAGCTTGCTCCCTCCCTGCAGACTCCCACCGGCTGGCTTTGATCTCTCCTTCCTCTGGCTCCTTGAGCACTTACTGACTCCACCAGCAAGTTAGCGTTTTGTAGCTATTGTCCTGTTCTCTAATTGCTTCATATGTGTACCTTTTCCTCCCTAAGGAAGAGGAAATAACATTTTTTTGAGTGCCTGCTTTGATAAGACTCTTTGCTGAGGGTTTTACATGTAATTTCCTTTAATCCTTGTAATAATTCTACGGCTTAGATGCAATTGATTTCATTTTACAGATGAAGAAACTGAGTCGGAGAGGTTAAATAACTTACCCAAGGTTGTACTGGAAATAAGAGGGAAGATTCAGACACAGGTATACCTTTCTGTTATGTCATTCTGATCCCACCTTGATTGTAAACTGAAATGATGGTCTCACTCTTACACACATGCACACCAAGTGTAGTGGTGGGTGCACACACACACACACTCTCTCTCTCTCTCTCTCTCTCTCTCTCTCTCTCTTTTCTTACAGGGTACTTAAAATCTGTCTGGGCTAGCCCCTGCCCCTATATCTTGGTAAGGAAGTTCGAATTGACCCCATTAAAAAAATTTTTCTTTATTATGTTATGTTAATCCCCATACATTACATCATTAGTTTTTGGTGTAGTGTTCCATGATTCATTGTTTGCGTATAACACCCAGTGCTCCATTCAATACGTGCCCTCTTTAATACCCATCACCAGGCTAACCCATCCTCCCACTCCCCTCCCCTCTAGAACCCTCAGTTTGTTTCTCAGAGTCCATAGCCTCTCATGGTTCATCTTCCCCTCCGATTTGCCCCCCTTCATTTTTCCCTTCCTTCTCCTAATGAGAATTGACCCCATATTTAAAATTAAGTAACTTGCTGAATATTAACCAACTTCCCAGTCTCCTTGTACAGAGCTTTCTCCACTGTACACTTAGTAGGTAGTTAATAAATATTTATTACAGTCCCATTTCTTTGAATCTGAGCTATTGTTTTTGGGCCTTTCAGTCCAAGGGAAGGAGGACCCATGTTGGTTCAGAGATTTATTGTGAAGTAGCCATGCTAGAAACCCTTCGATGGGGTTCAGCCAGCTATCAAAGTAATAGAGTAATTGGACTAATGTGAACTTGGGTCTCTAACTCCCAGCACAGCGTTTTATCCATGACATTTATTGTCTTGTTTCCCCTTTGTGTGGCTTGATTTGGGTTGGTTTGGTTTTAACTTCGATTTGAGTGATTTCAGACTCTCAATCTACCCCCCCCCCCCAAATATTGGAGGGAAGATCAGTCAGGAGGAAGAAAGAGGAAGAAAGAGGGCTGCTTTCTTGGCAGTGGGAAAAAAAAAAGAGACTGCCTAGGGATAGGGAGAAATCAATAGATCTTAAAGCCCTTTAGACGTGTGCTATGTCAAATATATTTGGGAACAGCAAGTGGTAGATGAAGGGGACTGAGTCAAAGTGTGTGTGTTGATATAAAAGAAAAATTCTTTCCATCTGTTGATTGTGATTGCTCAGTGAGTAATAAACTGGCACCCATAAACAAGAGTTTTCTTGTAAATATCTGGTACCTCCCAGAAGTCTCAGAACATTGGGCCACTACAAAACCACCCAAGCAAGTTAGCAAGATAAAGGCACCAAATACAGTCATTGAGGAGGTGGTCTCTAAAGACCTGGTAGAACCTATGAACTGGGAGGCTAGTTCTCCTCTCTGGTGGATTCTGGACTTCAGGAAGGGAAATTGGGGGACAGAGGAATGTGATTTCTAACCACTGAGACCACATTTGTAAAATATATGGAACCAATAAGAAAATTATGGTCCCTATAGGGTGGTTTTAAGAACTCAGAATTTTACCACATTTGGGGACTACAGATACAAAAAAGGAAACATCTTAGACCTCTTGGGTGTTTGAATGTTAAGTTCACCAAGAGGGAAATTCTGCCGTTTGTGACATGGATGGATCTGGAGGGCATTATGCTAAGAGAAATAAGTAAGCCAGTCACAGAAAAACAAATACTGCACAATTCCACTTACATGAGATATCTAAAATAGTTAAATTCATAGAATCCAAAAGTGGAGTGGTGGTCACCAGGGGCTGGGGGGAGGGGAAAATGGGAGCTACTAATCAATGGGCATCAAGTCTCCGTTAAATAAGATGAATAAGCTGGAGAGATATGTGTGCTACATTGTGTCTCCAGTTCATAATACTGGATTGTACACTTAAAAATTTGCTAAGAGGGTAGGTCTCATCTTAAATGTTCTTAGTATAATAAAATATTTTTTTTTAAAAAAAGAAGAGAAAAATTTATGGAAAGTTAATGAGCTATTATGCATGGTCTCCTGACTTACCTTGGTGGGTTGTTTTTTTTTTTTTTTTTAAGATTTTATCTATTTATTTGAGAGAGAGAACACGAGCAGGGGGGTCTGCTTCTCCCCACTGAGCAGGGAGCCTGACATGGGGCTCGATCCCAGGACCCTGAGATCACAACCTGAGCCAAAGGCAGATGATTAACCGACTGAGCCAACAGGCCCCCCTTACCTTGTTGCTTTTTTTTTTTTTAATTTTATTTATTTATTTGACAGAGAGAGACAGAGCAAGAGAAGGAACACAGCAGGGGGAGTGGGAGAGGGAGAAGCAGGCTTGCCGCGGAGCAGGGAGCCCAATGCGGGGCTCGATCCCAGGACCCTGATCATGATCTGAGCCGAAGGCAGACGCTTAACGACTGAGCCACCCAGGCGCCCCACCTTGGTGTTTTAAGAGCCACTAAGGGGAAGCAGCTTGAGTGGCTTCTGTGACAGGGATGCTAACATATGGGAGCATGTCTGATTGACTGGGAGGTATGGCATAGGGATGAGACGCTCACAGAAGTCATATTGTAAGCTGGAGATGGGGTGTGGGGTGTGGGCTCTGGGGGCTCCTGAGATAGAATTTACTTTAAGGGAAGAAAAGGTTGGAATCTGTAAGGGACCTGCGGGTCAGAGGGTTGTGCTGATTTCCGGAACAGCCACCCTGTGGATGTTTCTGAATGTGCTCTGATCCAGTCACTCGGAGGAAAAATGGACATTCTTCCATCTTTTGGAGGAAATGGTACACATGCGGAAGAGGAGCAGTCTTACCAAACTCGTGACATTTGAGCACGGGTCCAATCAGGCTCAAGCAGAAAGGGGGTACTGTGCCCCACACCCCTTCATGCTGGGGATCGAGGACAGACAGCCACGCTGCTTCAGCCACCATGCATCCCCGTGCCCAGAAGCCAGTGAGCTGCAGAAGCAGAGTGACAAATGACTGGCAGGTGGAGGCGAGGGTGTAGGGCAGCGGCGGGGAGGGCATTCTGGCAGCAGAGGCAGCTGCAAGCGGACTGATGCCTGAGTGCATAAGGTGACACTCCTAGGGCCTCAGCGGTCCCTGGCAGGAGGAGGAAATCCTGGACGTGGGAATCCTATGTATGCTGGTGGGGGCAAGGACCAGAGAGCTGAGAGTGCTCGGGTCCGAGGGATCTGATCTGTATTCCAAAACTGCTGAAGGCTTGGGAGCCTCTGAGTAACCTTTTCAACATCTAATGCAGACGTAACATGAAATAACTGTTAGTTTTCTTCCATTTCCTTCCTTTGTCTAGAAGGCTTGTATATGGGGGCCTTATCCTAATTCATCAGTGAAGTATTAAGACTCAGTCCATCTACTCTCATTTTTTAAAAAATAAGCTTTACTAAGCAAAAGTAGAATCATGTATGTGTTAAAAAAAATTCCCAAGGGATCAATTCAAACAAAATGCTTTCTTCTCAATGCTACTCCCCTCACCTCTGCTATAAGCCACCAAGATGCCCAATTGATGAAATTCTGGAAAGTATACCAGATACAGTCCGGGTCGTAGGGCTGTTGCACCTGCTCCATACCCTTACCTATGGAAAGAACATTTCCGGTGGTCAGGTAGTCTATATGTCTGGCTGTCCTGGGTCATTGTTCAAAGGTCACTTTCATAGTGACATCTTCCCAACCACCTTACTTAAAGTTGTAACCATCCACCAACCCTCTCTATGTCCCTCCCTGCTTTGTTTTCCCACAGCATTCATCACCCCTGATACATTTTTGCTTATAATTTGTTATTGTTTGTCTCCTGCACTAGAAGGACAAGGACTTTTTTCAGCTCTGTTCACTGGTATTATCTACAGAGCCTGGAGGATTGCCTGGCACAGAATAGGTCCTTAAATATTTGTGTGAACATATATTAAAATGTCACACCGTTCGTTAATATTTCTGCCATTCAACATTGCTTGGCTTGAAAGCAACATTTTATTTTCTCAGCATCTGTCTTAATATATCTGAGAATTCTTTCTTGCTATATTTAACTCTGGGGAGAGAAGAAAAGGATGCATAAAGGAATAAGAAAAATGCCTTATCAAAAAGCAAATGCAACCACACAAAGCCAGTGTGGCAACAAAAGCAAAGGAAGATCATTCAGTCCTGGAAAGCTAAAGTGATAATGTAACAATAACAATAATAATAGTAATAGTGATAGCTGTTAGCGGGTACCACCTGCAGGCTAGGGCTTCATTTTCAAGACATATAATTAGTATCATAGAATTGTCTTTCAGGGGCTTAGAATTCCTGTGACCTTATTGGGGCAGGGGGTGGGGAACCATGAAGAAACTGACAGGAAGATACATAATAACAGGAAGTAGGAGTAGCAACAGGGAAAGGAGGTGGGGAAAGAGGAGGAAAGTGGAAGGAGCAGGCCAACATCCGGGCTGCTCCCCACCCCCACCGAGACAGCCACCCCCTGAAACACCCCCTTTGCTGCTACCACTGCTTCTGCCCTCTGTTCCAGGATCCATCAGGGCTCAGGCAGGTTTCTCTTCCCTCCTCGTGTCAAGTATTTAAAAATCACCTGCTACCTCTCCCTGGGAAATTAATGACAAATGAGGCATTTTTAAAAATTGCTTTAGACACCATGTTATAATGCTTTAAAGTTGCGAGGATCCCCGCTTAAGCATAGTTTGCAAGGCTTCTGAACAGCATAGGATAAAGGAGATCCCGGAATCTCCCACACTTGGGGGAAAGGATGCATCACCAGGTTTGGAAATTTGGCTGTAAGCTTCCTGCAGGAAGGTGAATGGGGAGTTCGGGGCAGAGTGAATGTGGGAAGTCTACCTCAGCAGTTTTTTTTTTAATTTTTTAATTGTTATGTTAATCACCATACGTTACATCATTAGTTTTAGATGTAGTGTTCCATGATTCATTGTTTGCGTATAACACCCAGTGCTCCATGCAGAACGTGCCCCCCTTAATACCCATCACCAGGCCATTGTGACGCAGGTGAGGTCACAGAGGTATCCTGACTTCCTTCCGGCACATTGTGCAAAACCAAAAATATCCAGTTGGAGAAACACAGCAGGAATCTAGGCGCAACCACGAAAATGCAGCCCTGCCCGTTTTCTTTTTTTTCAATCCGAATGAAACAATGGCCAGTGTTTGAAGCTGAGAAGCCGCAGTGATAAATCCAAGAGAGAAAGGGAAGACTCAAAGCTTCCATGTAGGCAGGGTTTCTCCCCGGGAGGAGCAGAGCGGCACAGCGGAGTACCACCGGTCTCCCCTCAGATGGAGAAATGATGCCAGGAGCCAGAGTTGCCGGGATCGGCTTCCTATTGCACAGGTGGAGCGGAGTGTTAATAATTACTGGATGACAGCAGCTGTGGTTTTGATGCCATAGCAACAATCAACTCCTGGTTTATTCTGAGTTGATAAAATTATCCAGGCCACAAAGACACTATTAAAAACAAGAGAAAACAAAAATATCTATTCCACAGCTGGAAGGCAATGCTTCTCAAAATACTGTGCTTTGGGATCAGTGGCACTGTCCGCGAATATCGTAGGTGCCTCGATTTCACCTCTGATATTCCACTTTATAGTCTTCGAAGGGGAGGTCCCAAGAATCTTTATAGCTAAGAATCTCCCTAAGTGATTTGGATGCAGGCAATTCCTGAACCACACTTGGACAAACCCTGCATTAGGTGACGCCTATCGGTTGTTAGTTCAAGCCCCAGCTCTAGCATTCTCCCAAAGCAGCACAAGGGACGGGGCTCTAGACCTGTCCCGTCTAATGCAGAAGCCACCAGCCACATGTGGCCACTGAACACAAAAAAATGTGGCTAGTCCAAATTGAGATGTGCTCTAAGTGCAAAAGAAACTGGATTTCAAAAATTGTATATATCGTAAAAACAGTACAAAGCATCTCATTGAAAATTTTTATATTGATTATATGTTGACTATATTTTGACTATACTGTGCTTAATATACTTTTTTTGATTTCAAGTTTTTGTCTAAATTCTAGTCAGTTAACATATATGGTAAAATTGGTTTCAGGTATAGATTAATGATTCATCACTTACATACAACATCCAGTGCTCCTCATAACAAATGCCCTCCTTAATATCCATCCCTCATCTAGCCCATTGATAAAATATGTTCTTAAAGTTAATTTTACCTGTTCCTTTTTACTTTTTAATGTAGCTACCGGAAGCTTTCAAGTTACATATGTGATTCCCATTATATTTTTAGGGCTTACCTGGACACAGGAGTTCCAGATCATAGAACAAGTCATAGAAACTTTCTAGAAAAGGAGAAAGTATTTCCAGTTTTATTCTTCATTTTATCTACTCCCTTAACGAAGACATGGAAGCCAACTGAGGCTGGTCTAGCTTGGATAGCGGAGGTTGAAAACAAGAAGCAGGGCGCCTGGGTGGCTCAGTTGGTTAAGCGACTGCCTTCGGCTCAGGTCATGATCCTGGAGTCCCGGGATCGAGTCCCGCATCGGGCTCCCTGCTCGGCAGGGAGCCTGCTTCTGCCTCTGACCCTCCCCCCTCTCATGCTCTCTGTATCTCATTCTCTCTGTCTCAAATAAATAAATAAAATCTTTAAAACAAACAAACAAACAAACAAAAAAACAAGCAGCATTCCAGCTCAAACCCAAACCAAACCCATACTGGTATTCAGCAAAGTTTGGCCCACATAATGTTTTCCAAAATAAAATGTCACTAACATTAAAAAACAGTTTAATACATATTTTTATTTTTAGTATCTATTAAAAAATCTGAAGATCCAGAAATACTGGGTTCACTGTCCTAGATGAAAAGAATTCTGCTGGCCCCTACGCAGCAACTGCTTCCTGAGGAGCAGGACGCAAGCTTTTCCATTGGCCTGACAATCCCGGACACTCCTTTTTGCCTCCTGACACTGAAATGGGAAGGTCATTGCCATTTTCACTTTCCTTGCATTGTGGTTTTTTTCTATAGGAAATATGTATCTTTCCTCTTTATTATATCCCTATTTCTATTGAAAGTTGGAAAGTAAAAGACCAAGTCTACCACAAATAATAAGGAAAACACCTAGCCCACTTTACACATTTATGCTACCTGACCAGGCTCAGCCTCAGGTAGGCATTTGAGTTTACAACTCTTGCTCAAGAATTGTTTAAAAACAAGAGCCCAATGCCTGTCTGCCATTTCTTTAACTCTTGGCTCATTATGGCGATTCCTTGACCCCTTCTGGAGCAGGCTTTATGCCACAGTGATTGCTGATCTGCCTTCTTCAGAGCAGAGAATGTCCTGACGCCATCTGTGTTTCTCTCCCAGGGACAGCTGATTATTCTACCCTTAAAATGACCCATCTCCAGCCTGGGGCTGGCCAGTTTCGGTCTTTGTGGTGTGAAGATGGCAAGATTCTGGATGTGTTACATACAGAGCTGCTGGTCTCAGCAGCAGTGGCTCAGCTTCCTCTGTTCCATCAATTCCATGATAATCTAAGGACAAATCAGTCCAGGTGCCATTGCCATAGTTTCTATTCTGCTTGTCAGATTTTACTGTGGCTCTGCTTTCTAAGATTGTCATCAGATAACAGACAAGAGAAGACAAAGAACAAGGTAAGTAGCTCTTACCGAGATTTGGGTCTGATGGCTTCATCGAACCCTGATGTCTATGTCTTCCACCCACCTTGCCCTTAGCCAGAATCATTCTTCATAACTAAGAATGGTTTCAGAACTGGGGAGACAAAAAGATCCAAAATACCCAAATTGGAAGTAGATGAAAGTCTAATTTACATAATTAGAGAAAGCCTCTTACTTCCTACCTAATGATTTTTGACAATATATTAGCCAGGGCAAGTGAAACTAGCTACTGTAGCAAACAACCTTGGGAGCTTGACATAATACAGGTTTATTTCTTGCTGGTATCCCAGTCAGTTACAGGTTGGAACAAGGGCTCTGGTCCACACAGTCATTTGGGAACCCAGGCCTTTTCCATGATGTGGTTCCACCATCTTTGAGGGACTTGGAGTCCTCCATTGGCTCCTGGGAATCTGGCTGGCAGACAGGACAAGGAGACAAAGTATAGAAGTTCATGTGAGTGGTTTTAGGGCGGGGGGAAGATGATGTACTTAATTGCCATTGGCCAGAACTCAGTCATAAGGACCCATCGAATTGCAAGAGAAGCTAGAATCTGAAGGTTAGCTGTGCAGCCAGGGAGAAAAGGAAATGGATTTTGTGCACTCATGTCAGCATCTTTGCCTGATCAGGGCTTAGTAAGGAATAGAATGTGCAGAAAGAAACCTAGGGATAATTCTGGGAAGCCAAGGAAACAGCCAGGATCAGATCATTCTGGTTAGGTGTTAGGTATTCCACAGCCTTGCCTCTCTGTCCTTCCTTCATTCCAACCTTGGATACATAGGGCTGACAAATTGCTTTTTGTACCTCTACAGGCAACAAAATGGATTACTCTGCTTTTCCCAAATAAACTTAATAAAGAACACAAGGACCTTTCTGTTACTCAGAATACAGTGTTCAGTTCTGGCCCAGTGTGACCTGTGACTCTAAGCATCTGTTCTAGTGATTAATGTCATTTAAGACCCAGAGAAATATTTCTCCAAATCTCTTGCCCTGCCTCCTTCCGTCAAAAGGCAATGACACTCAAATGCTGTGAAGGTTTGTGGGTTATTCTGCTGAAATCAAAGATGGACCTTGGTTTAAACTATGGGGATGATTTGATCCATAGAAGCATTTAGGTAAGAGTAAAAAATTGTCCAATTTTCCCTTTTAGTATCCTTGAAATAGATGCTCACATAATGAAGTATTCTTTTTCAAGAGGGTGGAGCACTGTCTTTCTCACATGTCCCAGTTTGTGGTTTCAGAGGTACTGACAACTTAGGCAGTGTTCATAACTGTGCATGTGGTAGCTAAAGAACAGTTTGTAATGTTAAGCTATTCAGATTCCTTTTAAGGCCTGATGTAAGCCTAAACATATCCATGAGGGATGATACCAATTCTTTACCTGGGTAACTCGAGGGACACCAAATGCTAGAACTGCTAATATTCCTAGTTTTGTAATATTAGTAATAAGATTTTAATGGCTTTTTGAGATATAATTCACATCTCACACGATTTACTCATTTAATGTGTATAACTCAGTGGCTTTAGTATATTCACAGAATTGTGCATTTGTTACCACAGTTCTAGAACATTTTCATCATTCCTAAAAGAAACCTGGCTTCCCTTACCTGTCATCCCCAATCTCCTCATCCCTGCCCCCAAGCCCTTGACAGCTAGCTACAAATCTACTTTCTGTTTTTATGGATTTACCAATTTTTTACTTTTCCTATAGATGGAAACATACATGATGTGGTCTTTTCTGGCTTGGCTTCTTTCACTTAGCATAATGGTTTCAAGGTTCATCCATGTGGTAGCATGTATCAGTACTTCTTCCCTTTTCATGGCCTAATCATATTCCATTGTACGGATACACCACATTTGTCTATCCATTCATTAATCGGTAGATATTTAGGTTGCTTCCACTTTTTTAGCTCTTATGAATGATGCTGCTATGAACATTCATGCAGAAGTTTTTTTTTTTTTTTTTGTGGATGTTTGTTTTCATTTCTCTTGAGTACATATCTAAGAGTGAAATTGTTAATAATATTTAATTAAATTTTTTAAAACTTTCAAAGTTTCAGCTTTATTTAAATACATATACTTAAATTTTTGATATTCATTCATTGTGATTTGAATTTGTCTTTTATTCTTTTTTTTTAAGATTTTATTAATTTATTTGACAGAGAGAGACACAGCGAGAGAGGGAACACAGCAGGGGGAGTGGAGAGAGAGAAGCAGGCTTCCCGCGGAGCAGGGAGCCCGATGCAGGGCTCGATCCCGCGACCCTGAGATCATGACCTGAGCCAAAGGCAGACGCTTAACGACTGAGCCACCCAGGCGCCCCAGAATTTGTCTTTTATTCTTAATAGATAATTTTAAATATCTTGAACAAACATTTTGAAAATGTGAAGAATAAGCATATAATTTTATTTTAATTTGACTTTTAGTGAAAATACATTTGAATTGTTTGCTTCGAGTCCAAAATTTCTTTTTAATCCTTTAGGTCATTACTGTTAGTGCACTGTAAGTTATATGAAAATCTTGGTTATATCAACATAGTGATTTTGATGGGGAAAAAAAGGCAAGAAGAAGAAATTAAATCAAATAAATGTATAATTATTTTTGAATTGTATATGTATTCTTATTACTCACCCAAAATTGCCAGCCTGTCAACAGTACACAGAAACCTGAGCAAAATATTTAAATTTTGTCATTTACAATTCAACCATGGATTTATATGCATCTTTCCATTTTGTTGTCATTGTTCTATTTGTTTTTATGAAAGTGTATTTGTCAAGGTAGGAGGATAGAACATATGTTATTTTGTGGTTTGTTAGCTTGATTTTTAACTTTTAAATATTTAGACATATGATATGGGGACCTCTATTTCTACTCTTAACACAGGCCCTGTAGGGTTTAGGGGGAGACCTAGTGCAAGGTAGTTAAATGAAGATCAGTGAATACTTGTTGACTGATTGGTCTAGAACTGGAACAAGAGGATTTTTTAAAATAATGTTTAAGAATTTTTAATTTCCTTGCACCCCATGCTTTAGTCTCAGGAAGAGACATTTGGGTTCAATTACCTTGACTGGGATGGATAGGTGCAGCTGGTTGGTTATGGGACCACACATAATGTCTAATTCACAATAGCAAAAGCATGTAATTAAATCCTCCATGTCAAACTTATCTAGTTAGTGTCTCATTGCCAATCCTATGGAATTCTGCCTGCCACTCTAAGAATTAAATTGTTTATTTGAGCATTACTAATTATTTTACATTCCATATTCATGAACCTCGGAAGCTCTGGGCCCTGTTGATCCAAAAGAATGTCAAAATTGGCTTTCCACTTTTTATATTTTTATAAATTGCAACCAGGAACTCTCTATCATCATTAGATAGCTAACAAAGATACATTGAGTGAATATTTTGTGTTGGGTGCTATCCTGTCCCTATGTAGGGAATTGGCAAATAGGGAATATAATAGAGTAAGATGTAGCACAGTGAACATTTGACATTTTGAGGGAGTGTATCATTCTTTCTATTTGGGAGAAGTCCATGGTATCAAACCACTCAGTGGCATGTAGTCATATGAATTTATAACCACCCTCATCATTCTGTGATGAGGTTCAGCTTGAACAGCTCTGTCTCGACTGTGGGACTGAGTCAGCTGGGGTGGCTCTTCTACACAGATGTTCATTGTGGGGTCAGGCTTATAGGGCAGCCGCTTCTCATAACATGTCCTTCTCATGGCAATGGCAGCTACATAAAAGGAATACCTTAGGCAGATTTATTTCAAGTCTTTGCTCATATCACTCCTATTGATATCGCATTGGCCGAAGCAAGTCTCATAGCCAAGCCCATGATGAGAAAGAAAGAAAAGCGAGGATTTGTGACACTATCCAAATTATTACAACCCCTCTAGAGTGGGTCTTGGTGGATGCAGGGCCCTCCACCTCCCACTTCAGAAGCTAAAAGAGGGAAGACATCTTTTTTCCTGGCCTCTGTCCTGGCTTGGCCACTAAACAATCCAGAGGGAATGACTTAAAGAAGGAACAGTGAGCGAGATCACTCCCTAAGCAGTGGTGCTATCAAATGACCAGGGCAGTCATGTCATTGGCAGCTTTCTCACCAGATTATTCCTGGGGCAAGGACCTTGGCTATGTTCTCCTTTTCCTAACCTTCCTTCGGTCTTTCTGGTTTTCTGAGGCTGGTTCTATAGCCTGAAAGATGATTTCTGGTATTGACCCAGTTAACTGCTTTCTCCTTGACAGCTACAGATAGTTTTGATTGCTTGCTACCAAGAAAACTAACTGGTGCTAGTAGACACAGTATTTGCCCTTGAAAAAAAAAATTCTATACTTAGAGGAGGCAACATTCTCAAAGAAAACTCTTGAACAAAACCTTGCATGTACCATATGATATTCCAGGAAGCAAGAGTATGAAATTTAGGGCTAAACAGCAATGATTTCACATCTCAATTCTGGCACTTCCTTGCTGTGAGACTTTGTGTGTATGGTTTAACTTCTCAGAGCATTGGCTTTCTCATCTATAAATAGGAACAATACTACCTACCTCACTCGATCTTAATGATGGTAAAGCAATAACAGCATGTATAAATCTCCTAGTACAGTATTAGCATGCAGTAGATCTTTAGTAACTAGTAATTACTACTTTTACTCTGAAAGGTATTATTCAGAGTAGGGAAAGTTTCATGAAGGAAGGGAGGTTTGAGTAAAATCTGAAAGAAAATAAGAGTCTTAGACTGATGAAGGGAAAGAGAGGGGAATTTCAGAAAAAGATAATCTGTAATAGCCAGAGTACAGGGGCAAGACTTGACAAGTTAAATGTGAGAGACATAGAGGAGACTGGCATGATTACTTAGAAGGGGCATATCTGCGTGGCAAGGAGAGGAAAGTTATAAAGCCAGAGAAGATCTAATGCTCGATACAGGCCTCCACTCGTAGACAAGGTTTAAATGTGATGATTTGGTAATGGAGGCTTTACAGATTTTTAGGCTGTTGGAGAATATATGTATGTGTAGCAGGACAAGTTATACATATTTTAAAAATATTTGGGGGGGGTTATGTGTGGGATGGTTCATGGTGGAAATGGAGTCCAGTTAGAAAGCAATTGCTGAAAATCCAGTATAGCGTGATGAAAATCTGGAAAATCTGAAAATCTAGCGTGATGGCTGTGGAAGTAGAATCCTTGAGAAGAAACCTATCTGAGAAATACAAGGAACTCAGTGACTCTTTAGATGCAGGAATTGGGAGGAGTGTAGGGTCACTGCTGCCTTGGGCGAGGGACTACATTTATAAGGCCAAAATAAATAATTGCTTCCTTTTATTGATATATAATTTACATATTATATTAGAGTTCTCCAGAGAAACAAGACCAATAGGATTGGTTGATTAATTGATTGATTATGAGGAACTGGCTCACGTGGTTATGGAGGCTGAGAAGTTCTACCATCTGTCATCGGCAAGTTGGAGACCCAGAAAAGCTGATGGTGTAATTCTAGCCTGAGTTCAAAGGTTTAACTACCAGGGGAACCAATGATATATTTCCCAACAACTTAGGTTCTAGCTGATGCAGGCAGGCAGGAAAAGAATGAATCTTCCACTTTTTGTTCCATATAGGCCCTCATAGCATTGGGCGGTGCTCACCCACAATGGGGAGGCCTATCTACTTGACTGAGTTCATGGATTCAAATGCTAATCTCATCTGGAAACACCCTCACAACTCACCTAGAAATAAGGTTTCATTTCGTCGCCCATGGACCCAGTCAAGTTGACGCAAAAGTCAACTGTCACACAAACCATACGTTTCACTATTTTAAAGTATACAATTCAATTGTTTTAGTATATTCACAAAGTTGTGCAACAATCCCATTATCTAATTCCAGAACATTTTCATGAAGCCAGAAAAAATCCCATACCTGTTAGTAGTCACTCCCTCACCCGTGCCCCTATAGCCCCTGGCAACCATTAATCTTTCTATCTCTGTAAGTTTGCTTATTCTGGCATTTCATATGAATGGAATCATATAATACTTGGCCTTTTGTGTCTGGCTTCTTTCACTCAGCATCTTGTTTCAAGGCTTATCTGTGTTGTAGCATGTGTCAGTACATGCTGCTTTCATTCTTTTTTAGGCTGAATAATTTCATTGTATAGATATGCCAATTTTATTTATCCATTCATCAGTTAATTTGGGTTGTTCTCACTTTTTGACAATTACGAATAATGCTGCTATGAAGTTTTGTGGATAAGTTTTTGTATATGTACAAGTGTTGTTCACATGGTTTTAATTCTCTTGGGTATATACCTACCTGCAAGGGAAATTGCTGGGCCGTATGGTGATTATGTTTAACTGCCTGAGGAACTGCCAAACTGTTGTCCACAGCAGCTACGCCATTTCACGTTCCAGCCAGCAATGGATAAAGGTTCCAGTTAGTCCACACTCTCATCCACTCTTGTTTTGTGTTTGTTTTTGTCTTTATAACCATCTTAATGGGGACGAAGTGGTACCTTATTGCGGTTTTGAGTTGCATATCCTTAGTAATTAATGTTGTTGAGCATCTTTTTATGTGTTTATTGTCCATTTGCATGTCTTCTTTAGAGAAATGTCTGTTCAAATCCTTTGCCCATAATAATGAGATTTTTGCCTTGTCTTATGACCTAATCTAAGACCATCTCTGCAAAGTGCCATATTTGAAAGCTCTTTCAGGTATAGTCTGCACTGTGTAAGTCAGAAAATTCTGAGGTTTCCAAAGTTTTTGAGGAACTACAGTGATGCCTCTTTCATTTTATTTGGTCTGCAGATACATGATCAAGAAATTTAAACTTCACTAGGGAGCTATTTTTCTACTCGTTCCTTCTTTCTCATTTTTGTTCATATTCCTTGAAAGTAATTGATATTAACACTTTGGATTTATTTTTTTAATCTTCTTTCATCTGATACCAAGGACAAATGAAATGAAATTCTTTTCAAAAGTTAATTAATTTCACTTTATTTGGACCATCTCTCAAATGCAGCTTAGTATAGTACTTCCAAATTAGTGGTACAGATGTAAACCACACAAGGACTTTTTTAAATAGCTGTAAAATAAGAGAGCTGTACTAAATTATCTCAAATTTTCTTTCACCTTTAATAGTCTGTGATTCTAACATAGTTGTTTTTTAACTGAGATGGGATGTGAACCCAAGAATGCAAACTTAAACCCCCTTCCCTGGTCAAGATGCCATTCTTCTTTGATGAAGTAACATTTGCAAAATAAGTCTTAACTGGTCCCTTGGAAGCTGAAAACTCTGGAAACATAAGAAATAGATCATAGAAGGAAATGTTCAGAAACTAATGTATGCACTTACGAGAGTGGTCATAGTAATTATTTGGTGGGTGAACTGTGCTTATAGATAAAATTCATGGTTAAAAATGCAAAACAGAAGGTGGTTAGGTAGGGGGGTGAAATTATTCCTTGGAAACCAATGAAATTTGGACTGAGACATTTTGAGAAGTCCAAGATGTTAATGGAAACCTTGACAGTAGATTAGAAAGTATGTGGAAAATATTATCCATTT